CTCTTGCCCAGATATTCCTGATTCCATGGGAACCCACTGATTTCTCTAGAGGCATGGAGTGTAAGAATGGTATAAAGTTCTTTGATTAGACTGGGCCTTCTTTTCCACCTTAGGTGATACTCCTGCTGCCTCAAGACTACTGAGACCATTTATCCTCCTACAACTTAATATTTTGTTCCGCCCACTGTCTGACTGCACATGCTGGATCTCATGGGTGCAGGCTTAGGGAGGAACCTTGGGAACACTCTGGCTATTCCTTATCCCTCACTTCAGCAGGATGGCCTTTGCAAATTTGCCCGTGGCATGCTGCCAGTCAGGTTGAAATAACAACAGGATGGCTGGCAAGACCAAATCTTTGGTAACTAGTGGGGAAAGTTTTTCCTATCCAAAGACCACACAAAAATAGTTTATCCTCTTTCCCAAATACATGGAATGTAAAGCCCATGTCATTCTTGTCTCTCAAAATAATATAAATTAAGCTTACTTTTATAGAAGCTAATTACCTTTATGTATATATGCTACTAATTGTGTAGCACATTTCTGGGTTTATTTGGAAGACCAACACTTTGTTTTTTTAATGAAGAGAAACTTATGGACAACATAGTACAAGGGGTTATTGAAAGTCCCTAAGCAAGAGATAAAAAGCTGGGATAGCAAAATGTATCACTAGGATCAGGGAATGGGACTGTGGTCTCAACCCCATTCCTTCTCAAAGTGGATCTTTAGCATAACTAGTTGCTCACTAAACATACTGTTCCAGTGTTCCTGAAGCAAAAGCATACATAATTCAAACATATGGAATTTACACGAAGGAGAGAAGCTGACATATGTATATGGAGAAGTCTGTTGTGCTGAATGTGAGATTATGCCTGTATAAAAGTGTGGGTGTGCAGTGTTTCAGAATTGATTTCAAAAAGGTGCTTCAGAACATGTGGGATATAAATGTAGTACTGCCTGCCACTATTTAAAGCAGCTGCCTCTTTTCCAATCCTGGGATGCTTTCAAGAATTCCAGGCAGGTCCTATATTTACACTCCTGCTTGCTCCAAACTCTCTTTGTGGAATTGACCTCAAAAGTGCTGAGACAACCCTAATCATCAGTGTATCTGTGCATGCAAATCAGTAAAGCTGATAATTTCCATTCTGTCAGCTACAGGTAACATGAAAGATAATGGTGACCTTTACAGGGCAGGAGATGCCATCCTTCCTGTACAAAACAACAGCTGTTTGCACCTGGATCTCAAAAGGAACCTCTCTTTTCTTTCCCTGTGCAGGCAGTACTGGTGACCTATGGCTACTTTCTGCTGTTAGGAAACTGGGAAGTGAGAGGAGAATGGCAGCTCTTAACAATAGTTGCTCCCTCCTAAAATACATTTTCCATGTCCTTTGAACTATAATACAGAGGCTATTATTGTAGTGTGTGTGTGTGCGCGCATGCGCACACCTTTGAGTCAGTTTTTGACTCTTGGGAACTGCCTGGACAATTCCCTGAAGTTTTCTTGGCAAGATTCCAGAAGTGGTTTGCCATTGCTTACTTCCTGGGGCTGAGAGAAAGTGACTGGCCCAAAGTCACCCAGCTGGTTTTGCGCCTAAGGTGGGACTAGAACTGACAGTCTCCTGGTTTCTAGCCTGGTGTCTTAACCACTACACCAAGCTGGCTCTCATTATTGTAATAGCACTCTGTTTATCTGGTGTACTTTACCACACTCAATAGCACCATATTACATTAACTGGTATATTAGTAGTATCAGTTAAGATACTAAGTGGAGGCAGTAGTGGCAGGGTCAAAATATTATCAGCCACAGAAGATTACAGGGTGACTTGGGGGCAGTTGCTTTCTCACAGCCCAACCTATCTTTCAGGGTTATTGTTGTTGTTGTGGAAAAAAAGCAAGAGGAGAATATGCATGCTGTTTTAAGCTCCTGGATGAAAGGCAAGATATAACTAATTAATTAATTAGCTAGTCCTACTAGGCCTTCCTGGTTGTTAGGTTAGTAATCCACCCCCAAACTGTGGTGCTTTAGGTGAGAACACAACTTTGTTCAGCAAGTCCTGCTGGGCAAAAGATCTACCATCTGTACTAGAGTTCAGACTGCAGTTATCAAACAGGATGCACTCCTCTGCTATCTGAGGGAGAGGAAGGAAGGGGAAGAGGAAGGGGAAGGAAAGGGATTCATCTATTGTGGTGGCCAGAAATTTCTCTGCTTCCCTGCATCACATATTTTAAACCCAGTTCTCTCTCTAAAATCAAACAATAAAAAAGTATTCCTTAGTAATACTAACTAACCACCCCCCCTTTATTTCAGGGCCATTCTTGGGGCTTTCTTTCAACAAGGACTGGATAGAGAAATCTCCTGGCTCTTTCAGCCCCTCTAAGAAAGACCATCATCTGTAGTTTTTATATTAAGATTTCAGCCCAAGAAGGCTCAAAATGACATCAACCAGTGTCACTACAAATGTGTATTCTTCCTTTACCAATCAAGCATGTGAGGTTAAAGGATAAAAGCTTACAAGTCAGGCAAAAGTTATCAGGCAGAATTAAAACTCCCAGCACTTCAGCTTGATTTAAGTACTTGAATGTGGCAACAATTTGCCGTGTCATTTAAACTTAGCCCTCAGCTGCTATGGTGCAATGTTTGTGTGCCATAGCAGTGCCTTTGTTGCTGAGCTACAGATTAGCCTCCCAGTATGGTGTATGAACAGGAGACTTGATTTAAGCAAACAGTGATACATATGTGCAAAGGCTGAAGAGCTTTTTCCTTGCTCCTTCGGCAGCATCACAATTAAATGAGGCCTAAATCGAGCTGTTCAGCCACCTGCTCCACAAACTAGCTAAGAAGCAGAGGAAATATACGTCAGGGTGGATGAATGCACTCCAACTCGGTTTCATTAAGCTGTCTGGGTGGTGAGTGATTAAAAGGAGATGCTGATACTCCCTCCGGCTGCATTCCACACTGACTACGCGGCCTCCAATCCACCCCCATCTCCTGGCCAGCAAGTGCGGAAGTGGGGAATTTCCTGGCACCAGATGCGGAACAGGAAAGCGGAAATGAAAACAGCGGCAAGCCAAAATAGATTGGGGATGGGAAGAAAAGGAGGGGGAGTGCTTGTCTCTTAAAGGCACAGGATTATCCATAGGCCCAAAAGGAAGTAAATTTATTCAAAGCAGATGGATGAGCATTCAGGGAGGGGCACGGTTTCTCTTTGCTCTCCCATCAACACACCCATTGCAAATGGGCTTGCCCCACAACACAGTTTTTTTCCCCTCCTCATTAGCCCATTCAAAGTGTTGCATTGCATGGGAGCAATTTAGGACAAGACTGTAGGTGGCCCATGGCTGTACAGAAAGAAAAAAAATGCATCAAACAGCTTTACTTTCGAATAAGGTGCCAATTCCTAGCTCTGTCAACACAATGCATAGTGTAAGAATAATCACTCCCTCACCCATAAACAAGCCTCACAATGCTGAAGAAATATGTTCAGTTCTCCTTGAGAACTGTGAGCATAATAGAATGCTAAAGATTTTGCCTCCTTTTCTTCTTGCTGAGACTGTTTTAGTAGTCTGAATCAAGGAAATACGGTATTTCCCAAGCCACAGAGGTAATTTGCATTTTTGACAATGCTGTGGCTGGCTGTGGAGTCAGTCAGCATTCCAGAATGAATCCATATTGAATGGATTTGAATAGAAATCCCCAAGAAGGAAGAAAGCATACAGTATCTACCTGGCCTTAAACACTCTGTCTTTTTTGCAGATGTGCCCAATGTAATTAATTTTGTTCCCTATGTTCTGTTATTGGCAAAGACACCAATAACAGACAGTCCACCCAACTCCCCAAAAATTCAGGGCATGCTTCCTTCCTACCGGGTGCCACACCATCTCCTCTCCATCCTGATCTGTTCCCCTTTCCTCAATATTCCAGCTGTGCCATTTCCTCAGGCCATTCAGCATTGTCTGGAAGCTAGGAAGGCTGCAGGCATGGAGTGAAAGGGAAGACGGGGGGGGGGGGGGGGGGGGGGGGG